TTTGCTTTTTATTAAGCATCCCAGTTTAACTTTTTGACTTCATTTATATCTCAAATGTGTTCACTTGATTCCTCTTTTGCAATAAATTTCGATGTTTAAAAGCCACTCAGCCGATCTTTCAAGCTATTCAAGTTTACAAAGATAGAATGTAAGTTGACTATTATTATACGATACTTCTATAATACGATAAAATAGGTGCTTTTAGATCAACCAACTCACCGCATAAACAGTCAATCCATCATTATAGCATGTTTTTGCTTTATTGTAGTTGATTTTTGTCAGTTCATTTGTAGTTTCCACTGGAACAAGAGAGCCCGATAAAGGCTCGACCTTGTATACAGGAACACCATCGGTTTTGATGTTAGTAAACGAGAAAGTTCAGCTTTTAGCATGAACAACGTTTCCATATTCTATAAAGACAGAAAATTAGAACCACAAACCATCTGAATGAATCGACACCAAATCCGACCCGGATCACCAAGCTTCTGACATTGAGTCCGATGAAATCGATCAAGAAACTTTTGTCGGAAACAAGTCTTTTCTAAAATTTCTCAATAAGCTAATACTTTTTCCATTTGCATAGAACTAATAACAGAAGTTGACCCAACCAGATTGATAGCCCCGAGTTGGTGGTCTTGTGGCTAAAATTATAAATAAGAAGTAAGATTTACTCCCGCATAGACACGAAGTGTATACCCTTTGGGTAGCACTTACGACAAAGCTCCATCTGTACAGGAAACTGCAGATAGTGCAGCAGATTTCCCAAGCTTCGGTTTAATTTGTCTCGTGTCTCGCCTGACATAGACGACGAGAAAATGAGCCAACAGTCTAACAGTCAATTAACATGATTAAATTAAAATACGGCTCTTTTAAAGATATTCAACCGTTTAACAGATAAGGTGGCGACTTCCCCTCAAATGCTAAGATATTCAATTTACTCAACGTAACGGGTAAAGAGGATTGGCACCTAGAAGGGTTGAGCAGTAAAATTTAAAAGGACCTATTTAATTTAAAAGGACCTAATTTAAAAGGAATCACTTGTTTTGACACGTTTCCCTGTCACGCTTGTTTATCCACCGAAGAGTTCACCAACTTTGATACGCCATACCTACAGAAGTACTCGACAGAACCCATAAGTGTTATATATATTCTGAAAGCCCAGGCTGAGCTCTACACGATGGCATCAGTTTTTCTATAAGTTTTCTATTTTATTCAGGGTTTTTTCCTTCTGAACACCAAAGTTGAAACCTAGAAATTTTCAAAGTCACTTTTCATCGCGATAACGTCGTCAAATCGTGCTGAAAGTCTGTTTTTGGAATCTACGCAAAAAAATTGGCCCAGGAAAGTGGAATTTGAATAATTGCAACTGGGATATCTTAGGAGAATTGATTAGGTCAAAAGACAAAATTCTCGACCCATCAACAAAAATTGACAAGTCGAAATCGATTCTTTTTGCATTTTTCTCTTAGTTGACATCATTTTAAGAATTGTTAGTGCTTAGATTTTTGATTTGAAGACAAATGGTTTTGTACTCGTTGTGCACTCTAGCCAAGCCTGAGCCCACAACCTAATACCTGCAAAAAGAGTTGTTATTTTTCTGTTTGCAAAAAAATCCAAAGTTTATTTCACTCCTGGCTAACTATTTTTGGCTTGCATTCATTTTCTTGTCCTACTGTGTAATCGAAACCGAGACAACGTGTTGCTGTTTTGTGAACAGTTTCATTAATTTTTCTCCATATGGAAGTTTTCTGAGTAGAGATTCGATAAATCGTCGGTATGGATCGGTGAGCAACAGAAGGGTGAGCGATGAGGCAGTTCCATGAGAGCTCAATACGCCAAAACATAGATTGTTCAATGCTTGAATTGCTTTGAGTGTTTTGGGTTCTTTTTGCTTACGCTGATTGGTTGAGTCGGTAAGAATGGACAATTTGGCCCCATAGTACAGCCATGGAACTGATAAAGCCGCGAATGGAATCGAGAGCTAATATTTGATGATCTATCCAGAATGAACGTTTTGTTTGTGTTAAACAGTTAAAAAATAAGCATTTTTAGCAACTTAACGATTGCATCAAGTTAATAACTACAGACTAACAAGGAAAGGTCTACTGGCTGAGGCGACCAAATGCTAAGCTTAAAAGATATTCAGTCAAATGAACAAATTCGAGCCGCCAGCTTTTCCCGACGAATCAGCAATTATCTCATCGAGAAATTCTCCGATTTCACAAGAGGACCAAATCGAGCGAATATCTTAAAAAGAATCATTTCGCCACGTCGTGGGCTAACCACTGAATAGCGTGTGAGTTTGTGAAATGAAATGGCTTTGGAGTTTATTATTCTAGCAAAGGGGACTGGCTTAGGCTGTCAATGCTATAGCGACCTATACCATTCGAAGCAGAATTTTATGCATATTCCGAATATATATTCCGTTTTTGTTATTGACAATCTGCAGGAGTTATAAGGGTCTAAAGTTTTGTTGCGTGGCTGAGTGGTACAGCATTCGTTTCTTGTGAGGCCTCGCTCTCGAAACGAACGCTGTACCACTTCGTCACGGCTGCACCGAATTGGGTCCGCAAGGGGGCCCACTAAGACCCAAATGACTACATTTTCAGAGTCCTAACAACTTTAGATGCTTGTAACTCCTGATAGATGGTCATTTAGCAAAAACAAAATATAAATTCGGAATCAGCATCAAATTCTGCGTCGAATGGTATAAGTCGCATAAAATTTGACCAATTTGACCATAAAGCCAGTTGACCTTCCCTTGTTCGTGCTTACAACATATGCTTACAACAAAACATTCACTAATCAGAATGACGTTGAGTAATTTGTTAGTTAATTTAGGCAATAGTTCAGTTAGTAAGTTTTGTCGTGCAAAAACCACCTGGATGACAAGACTCATGAAAAATTTCTTCATGTTGTTGTCGTGTTCGCTTGCTGATATGAATAAGGACATGAACGAGCAGGTAATTGCATGCGTAGATATAAGCCGAATTCTGAAGCCATTGAATCCCCTCATAGAAGACTTTGATAGTCCTCGTTTACTCATTTTTTTTGTCCAACTTTTTAGCAGATATAAAATACAAAAATAACTCATTGATCATAAATGCTTTAAAACTTGTCAGAGGGTCAAATGTGCTGTATTAGTTTTGTTTTATTTTTCTATCGTTTTGTGTTACTTTCGACATATTATTAACAGCAATGGTTTAGCGACGATTATTCTATGCCAAGACCAACTCACCAAAATGGCAAGAAATGTCGCAGCAAACGCCACGCCCATCAGAATTAATGGGATTGCACTCGAAATTGATATTTGGTGGAAAAATCGGTCGAATTCCAGCCACATAAATCGTTGAAACATTCGAGAAATATTGGAATTCTGGATGTTCCTGTAGCAAAAAAGGGTTAAAAAGGGGGCGGCGGTCAAGCGATTATCGGTGGGGGAGGTCGAGTTCTTGACCAACTTGCGGCTTGTTTTTAAGCACCTAAACTTGTCAGATCGGAAACTTTTAATAAGATTTAGATAGCTTAGAACATCAGCTTTCAGAAACTATTTGTTTCATTAAAAAGTTATCATCAAAAACCTATCTAAAATTCGGCCGCAAGTTGGTCAAGAATTCGACCCCCCTCGATAAACGTAAAGGTTCAGAAAAAGATTAATGGCATCATGGAGTTGCCAACTTGTATCGCTTCGAGATAATACTCCGTGGAGAGGCCCTTTTGAATGGGTAGCAGTTGAAAAACGATCGGCATGTAAAGGGGATAAATCGACAGGGTCAGCACACGATAGACGATTCGACCAAATGATCCGATTCTTGATAGATTTAATAGACTAAATATCTTTACACAAACTTGAATCGGCTAGTCTGCGAAAGAAGATTTTGCCATTTGTAGAAGAAGAGTTGGTTGAGTGTCGCGCCGACATAGACGACAAAAAAATGAACCAACAGTCTAACAGTCAATTAACATGATTAAATTAAAATACGGCTCCTTCTAAAGATATTCAACCATTTAACAGATAAGGTGGCGAATTTCCCCTCAAATGCAAAGATATTCAATTTACTCAACGTAACGTGTGAAGAGGATTACTCGTAGTTACTCGGTCAAAAACGTCGATTAATCAAGTAAACATTGCCCAGGCAATTTTTCTCAAGTAATTACTTACTCGCGAGGAACACACTCTAATTATCACACTCGCTTTTTCTACAGAAGGCTTCAGGTTTAAAGGGGGAAGGGCAATAATTTTGAAAAAAAGTGCTTTAAACTTGCTAAAGGGGGGGGGGGGTATAATCGTGGCCTATTCTTACTAAAAATTTTTTCGAGAAAATTTATTTATTTCGTGTTTATTTGTTAGATTGATTGTTGCTAGAAATGATAAAAATAAATTGGCAAAATTAATTTGAACCCCGAAGATCCTTGAACTTTCTTTAGAGATCGGTAGACACCTAAATTAATTCATAAATGACAAATAAATTTAACAAAACAAACAGAAAAACCATAAAATATGTACAAAGGAATAATTTAAACTCTTAATCTAATACATCAAAAATTAAGCATCATCTGAATCGACATCACTCAAGTTCAAAATCTCTGCAAATTCCTCACTCATTGCTTCTTAGTCTCAGTGCCCTCGGTAAATTTCTGAGTTGACCAACGAATTCGATCATACTTTTGGGACGAGCACCTTGTTGTGGCGGTAAAATTTGTGCCTTTTTCGGTCCACTTAATGTTTCTCCCTATACCGGGAGCTTTTCCAACAAGGAACCCGACCACAAAGGTGTCAATGTTGAAGAAGCAATTCCAGCTTTTCTAATTCTACCAGAAGATAATTGGGCTTTGAGATAAATTCCTCCTCATCCGACATTGTTTATCTTGAACTGAAACTTTTATGACACGTATAAAAGCACCAAAAAACCAAAAGAAAATACAAAAACCAGAAAAAAAAGCCCTAAAAGGTTGGCCATACGAAATGTGAACAAACTCGATTTTGAGCTCAAATTAATTTTGCCAATTTATTTTTATCATTTCCAGCAATATATCTGACAAATAAACACGAAATAAATGAATTTTCTCGAAATTTTTTTTTAGTGAGAATAGGCCACGATTCTAAGAATAGCCCCCCTTTAACAAGTTTAAGTCACTTTTTTTCAAAATTATTGCCTTAGTGATTTCAATCAATGTCTTTTTAAACCCACCAATGCCAACTTTGCATCAAGACCAAGCAACGTCTCCCATAGCCCGAAGATTCGGCCAGCAAATGCCGGAAAAAAGAGCTCTGGTCGAATGAGCAACAAAATAAATTCTGTGCTGAATGTGATCAGCTAAAATCTTTAGATATACATTTTTTCATTACAAATACACTTTTTTTTACCTGATAAAAGATTAGATATGGTTGATACTCTTTCATTTCGACGGGGCTCTTTCTCACAATACAATACAATGTGAAGAGATTGAGCGGGATTGAGATTAATGACAGCACGAAATCGTACCATAAGTAAAATGTTGGCTCCTCATACATTTGTCCTCAGAAACGAAATCGAAATCCTTATTGCAAGGAGATAAATCGGTCCTTTCCACCTGTTCACCAGTTTCTAGGGTAACAAATCCTAAACTCCGTTTCGAAAAAACGAATTGGATTTATTTTTGAATGGAAAGTAGAAAAGTTCACTGCGATGACAAAATGAGTTTCTTTTTCTTGCTAAATATCTGGCGCAAATCTCAAAACGTTAACAGAAAACAACAAGCCATGCCCCAAAACAGTCGCTCTCTAGGCTCTCCTTCGATTGAGTTTTGCTCAAATCTCCACAAATTTCTCAATGCTAGTCATTTTTTTTAAATGACTACTGCTTATTTCCTATTAAAACTACTGCCACAAACGTCTCGCGAGGATGTTTTAGGCTATGTGGACACTGGAGAAGGATTCGCGTTTTTGCCACCCAACTCGACAGCTTCAACGTTTCACTCTTCATTTTCAAAGAGCGCTTTCAAAGAGTGCTCAAAGAAGTTAAAATCTCAATTGAATCTGCCGAGATCTATTCTCTGTCAGGTTTACAGAAAAAGCCGTTCTATCGACGGCATTTGATCACTTATCAGTTTAACGATCCTTCGATTTTTGGCTTACATCCACAAATCGTTCACACTCAAAAACACGAGTTGCTTCTGAGAAACGCTATCGCTTTCAAAAGCATTAAAATCGGGTGCAAAGCGAACGAGGAAGATGATGAGGACGATAACGACGATAATCGTTACCACTCTTCTTTTTTCCAAAATCTTGACTAAACTTGTGCAAAAAGGATAAACTAATCACATTGTTGTGATGCGTAAGTCTTTACAATTTTTTTTTCAAACCTTTGTTTTTACGAAAAAGAATCCTTTATCAAATTTTTTGCGTCCTAAACTATTAAAAAGGTCTGTTTTCTCTACAAAATCACTTTTGAGAGGAAGGTCAAAGCTCGCCTCAACTCGGTAAAAACTCATTTTTGTGCAAACTTTTCAATTGCTGTTTTAAAGAAAATGGCTGAACGAATCGTTTTCAAATTTTATAGATTTATGTAATCAAATAAGCTCTATCTTTTTTACTTTAACACCAAAAGTTTGTATGTTTGTATGTATGGTTTGTATTGAAGAAAGTGTCCAAATTGCGACTTCGGCTTTGGAGCAATTTTGGGTGCTCGCATTTGCGCCTTTGGAAATCCACAAAAACAGCTACTTTCAAGAATTTCACAAAAATCATTTTGCAGAGAAACAATTAACTTTTTTAATAGTTCAAATAGAAATTTTGTTTGTGGCGGTATTATTTTTAAACGAGGTTTCGGGGAAAATTGTAAAGACTTATGCACCAACCTAATAACATTGTATATGTCTGTGACGCGTTTCTCTGGGTTTTCGCCTGATTCCTGACAAGACTGTTGATGCACATTTTATAGCTTTTCATCAAACTTTTAAAAAACATAAAGCTTTTTCTAAAACATAAGAAATAAGAAAAAAGAGAATAATGCAAAACATAATGTGTTTGAGAATTCGAACAAAAAGAATTCTAGCATTTGATTGGACAAGTCTCACAATTGAAGTTGATAACAACGAGAGAATTTCATCCTTTGAAAAAAATGTGAAATTATGAATTGAGCAGTGTTTATCTATAAAAACTATCAAAGATCACAAATTCGTCCAGAAATATCGATCGCTTCGATATTTCTGATCAAAAGGTGAATATGGCTGCTTCGAGAATCACTCCCATCATTCGATTCCTCGACAATTCTCGTTGCCATTATCAGCTGATCGATTTCATTTGAGATTCTTCGCAAAAGCACAAAGCTTTCTTTGGAGATTCGTCTCCGATTTCGGAGCAGCTCGCAAAAGTGGAAGAAATTCGCACAAACTTCTTTCATCTGTGAGCCCTTTTCGTGAAGAAAATCGTCCAACTGATCGGTGAACTCATTTGCATTTAACGCTTGCACTTCTTTCATCAATAAGAGCTCCTCTTCAATTCGAGAAATGGGTATTTCAAGGTAAGCTGTGGTTGTGTCATCGAAATGGATTGACATTGAGGCAAACGGATTCCGACTCGGAATCCCGTTCTCCACGAATTCCCTCATTATTCTCGTAAAGTGCTCAAATGAGGCTATCGAGTAGTGAATGTAGAAAGCGTTCGATCGCTTCAACATCTCATGAGAGATAATATTCGACGAGTTCGGGATAAATACGTAAATGTTCAGCATCTTTTGAAGCAGTGAGCTGTTCATGAAATTTGCATTTAACTTCTCGTATTCAAACGAGTACTCATCGAATGAGAAAAAGTCGATTTTGGCCTCAAATTCCCCAAAGAAACACTCGGCTAGTTGTTGGTCACCGAAATTTACATTTAAATCTCTGATCCATTGGAGATTTGACATGTATTTGTGCATGATTCGCCTCAATTCTTTCACCTTTTCACCCTCTTTCTCCCAGAAATCCACTGCCACATGCAACGAGGCACAGGTTTTGAGAAATTTGAAGAAAATCGACGTGCTTTGTGATGAGGAATGCAATTCTTCTCTCCTTCTCGGATCTTTATAGATGATTTTCGTCGATAAATCAAAATTCCCGCATTCGATAAATTGAAAATTCAGACGAGAATCGGCGACTCGCAAAGAAATCTCCGTGCTTTCGCACAAATCACACGCAAACCTCAACTCGTCGATTTTCCCGGGTAGTGGTCCATGTTGAAGGATGAGTTGACGTAGCAAAGTGTTTGCCTTCAACATCTCCATAGCATCCCCAATTTGCAAGCATTTTAGAATAACTTTCTGGAGTTTGCGAGAGAAATTCGAGAATGGAACAGACGCCTTCGAGTCGATAGTCATAATTTGTGAATATTTTCTCACTTCTCATTTCCGAGAAACCACTGAAAGTGATAAGGAGTGGCTGAACCGAGCGAACTGTCTGTCTTTGCAGTGTTTCAATGTACTTTGGTGCTTTTTTAGAGGAATGGGGGATTGCAATCCCCGTTTCCCCTCTTCGCAACCAAATCTATCCCTTAATAAGATACAATTTTCTGTTTTAAATGAGACATGGGCATCAGAAGGCAGGCCTCTCTGGAATTTTACACTAATAGTTAAGTTAAAATAAGAAAAGAGAAACCGGTTGTATGACATCCAATTAGAGAGTCAGTCACTTGGGAAATCGCACCCTTGACCTTTGGATCGATCTTTAGGCCGATACTTTACCAATTGTGCCATTCATGGCTGACATGAGATCTCAAACAATTTTTCAGATTATCCAAGAAGTTGGCGCACTGACCATCGTGAGAAATGATGACTACGTGGCGCCGAGCTGTGTGCTGGAAAACGTTGCCCCATAAAGGAACAGCAGATAGCAAAATTTTTAAAACTGCTGCATAAAATAAACAGCAATCCTGCAATATCGGCCATTTTGACAAAGCAAACAAAGAAAAGGCTTTAACTGAAAATGAAGAACCCTAAATTCTAATCTAAGACCCCAAAAAACTAAAGGAAACGCTTTGACCTAATGTAAATTTTTTTTCTAGTGTTATTCCAATAAAGTGTTTTTTTATTGCTTTTCAGTATGAAAGGCCAAACATTTGAAACAGGAAAAATGAGGTATCGCATTTTTCAGACAGTTCTCAAAATAAGCATTATTGTGCTAAAAATCAATGAAATCGATGCGTTTTGAAATATCGAAAATCCTCATGATACATGGCGTGGAGATACTGCATTGTGAGGGGATTCTCGCGGATTTCCCTCAACAAACGCCGCTTTTCGCCATTATTTCGCCCCGTGTGAATCGTGGACGATTCGGTGAAATAGCGGAGGGCCTAAAATTGGGAAATTTCGCTGAACTGTTAACGTGGATGAGGTAAATGACCTCCAGTTAGTTGGTTGGTCACTTATGGGAGTCGGCCTCTGGGCTCTAGATCCCTTGGCTTCTAGGTCTCCAGACCACTGTTATGCCTAATTCGGGAAGTAGCGGTGAGTCTAGTTTATATATGGAAAAAATCTGGCCCGTGACAACTAGTTGATTGCTTATGGAAGAAAATCAGACCAACAACCTTGGAGTCTCAAAAACAAATACCGTAAAAGCTGTCATAGTGGCCCCTCCCTCTAATAGTGGCCCCACTAGAGGGCCAACGAAAAAATAATGCCCCCGAGGCTACTATTAAAGCTTTTACGGCAGATTAATCTTATGCATAAGTAATGACGCCCTTAATAAACGAACTTTGGATAAATTATTGACCAAACTATTCTAATGATTTCTTATATGATAATGATAATGATGACACCTATAAAGTTCACTTAGTTGATCACTAGTATTTTATTTTGAGTTTTGCTTTGAGTTTAGATTGCGTGCTCAATAAATGACCCTTTTTGAAGCTTCTTTTTAAAAATGATTTCTGGTATTTGAATCTAGGGTCAAATCTTTCTAAAAATTCAAATGCTGCCTTTATATAAATTAGGCCTACAAGCCGGGCTAAAGAACACACTTCTTCTTATGGTGAAATTTTATGGAAGAGGCAGAAAGTCCCTGAACACCGAAAACCACCCTTATACTGTTCTTTCTTTTCTGGAGCTTTTCACGTAACAATGAGAATGAAATTTCTAATATAAAATGACTAGACTCAGATAGTTATAACAAAACAAAATACAATTATACAGATTTGTTGTAAAGTTATGACATTTTTTGCAAAAGCACCATTACTTATGCATACAGCTAATACTTAATACTGGGTAAGTCAAAATTGACATACAGCAATCAGCAAATCAGGAGCTCATCCTGTGATCTCCAGCTAGATATTTTATAACTTGAAGGAGGTGAACCTTGAATCACTGGATCTCTCGGCTGACACTCTACCGATCGAGCCATTAGAGACAAAGATCTCAAACTTGTCAGAGAATGTCTAGTATAGTAGGAATAAAATCTGCGCTGTCCAGCTAAATCTTTGCATGTAAAGATCACCTTCTTTGCCACTCGCTCTGGCACGTGGGCTTGTCGAAAAACCCTCAACATCTTCCGTTGCATTTTCCTTCGATCGTGCGACACTTTGACGATCATCATGCGACTTCTTTTGAGATCACAGAAACTGGAAAGAAGATCAATATTTTGAAACCCATGTGATAAACTAACTATAAGTTTGGTTAAAAAATTCAATAGCATAAACTTGCTTTGTCTGGGGCCACGAGTGAAAAACGACAAATGCATTATTTGTCCCACCCTCCCGGGGTTTTCCTTGAGAATTTGCTGTTCGCTGGAGTCCGTAGATCCATCGAGCGAACTGGTGAATGTTATTTTTGGCTTTAGGTGGGCATGAGGCAATACTTCTGAAATTTTAGAAATGAGTTCAGTAAGAAGCCCGAAGGACAATGTTAATGAAGCGCCTAATTAAGGCTACTGGGAACTATTCTTATCTAACTACAGATAAGCCAACTAGCTAGAGGTCATAAGCTTGGCTCCTGTTATTTTATCGGTTCTTTGAAAGGTTTAGGGTTCCAGCTCTGATGGCTCTGATGGTAGGGCGATGGTTAAGCAATGAATAGTTCGGGGGATTTACGCTTTGAAATGAGTAGCCATCTATCTGGATGTCACAGGTGAGTTTTCTAACATAGTCCCGATTTTTACAGCAATTGAGAGTTCCACCCTCGATGACTCAATCGGTAGAGAGGCGGACTGGAGATCCAAGTGTCTCGGGTTCGACTCCCACAAGAACCCGGTCCTCTAGTTAGAAGTAACAGTGCTTAAATTATAAAAAAACATTTATCACTTACCCCTTACAAATGAAGACATAAAGTGAAACGAATCGCTCCAACGGATCACGGACGAGTGAAAAGCGCACATTTCTTGCTGGACGCCGCCACTTCGACGCTGATTTTTTCCCAAAGAAAGGCTCGATCAATTGGCATTCGCTGAAAATGAGATTTTAAACAAACGAAAGCTATTTGCCTTTGCTTAGGGGCTTTTTTATAAAGCTAAAAAACAAGACGCTTGGATAAAGAATTGAAAGCTCTTCTAGTGCAGGTGAATGGTTTTTGTTCATGATAATTAGGCTCTTAAGTTCAAATTGTTAGACATAGCTTCAAGGAAAAACAGTTCTTTATCGTAATTTGGAACGCTTTATACTTGTTGTCACCAACTCCTCAAATCCGACGAGTTTGCTTGGGCCGCTAAAGAGTCCCGGGACGCCCTTGTAGTCTTTTTGCACATCGCAGAGCATTTTCTTCGTGATCGTGAGGCCAGTCTTTGGAATCTCACAGTACTCGAGTCCGAAGCCCGGTTTGTACTGAAATTTGTAATACATCGATCTGGCTAGAATCATCTACATCATAGCTTTATAACTAGAGGAAACGAGTCTGTGATCTCCACCTAGATGCACCTAAATGAGGTCACCCCCATATTGCCTAAAAGACATTTCCCCTAAAACTATTGAACGGAAATTTTAAAAGCTTGTTAAGAAAATTTGTGTCGCATTTTTATACCACTCTCTGCAACTATTCTTTCCGCAATCTAAATTGTATTTTAGTCGAATTGATAAATTTGGTGTTGGAGTCGCGGGAGCTTTACAATGGCAATTCCAGTCGTTAAAAGATATTGCCTTCATGCCGGATCCAACTTGGAGTTGCCTTGCGAACAGGTTAGGCAAACGATTTTAGCCTGTGATTCAATGGTTTGAACATCATTGGAAAAAAGACGAGAATATCGGAAAGCACCTTTTTTTTCCTCCACAAAGTTGGGGTATCTTTGAAAGAATCCTGAATGGAGAACAACGAACGAACAGTTGCCTCGAGGGCAGATTTCCCACCATTCAAACACGTGGAAATTTTTGGAAAACCTTTATTTTAATCAGGTTAACATAGACGAACACCGCGAACGAGGATGCCACAGCAACTCAAAAAAGATCGAATGATGTTGAAAAATTTGCATTTAATAGTTTTAGGCGAAATGCCGTTAGACGAAATGTCTTTTAGGCAAAGTGTCCAGGTTCCACCTAGATAGATGGCCGCTTATGGCCGATAAGTTATAGGAGTCGATTCTCGATCTCTGGATCTCACTACCAGTGCCAAAATCTACCGATTTAAGACTGAGTTCTCGAACTTGCCAAAATCTAGTATTGCAGAAATTGCAGTATTGCAGCACAGCAAGCTAGTATTGCAGAAAAAAATCTGTGATATCCAGCCAGTTAATTGATCAACAATTGACAATTGTCAAATCGCTGATCGTCGTTTAAGCTAAACAAACGGTTGTTATATCAAAACTTTTACAAAACCGATTTGGAGGTCTCAGAAACGATTAGCAAGGCGCTGGCAAGGCGAGACACCAGCCCTTTGGATAGTTCAATTGGTGGAGTGTCTGACTATACATAGATCCGAGGGTCGAGCGTTCGATGCCTACTAGTGACCAACCATCTAACTGGATATCACTGATACGATTCCTGTTAGGCCATCTTTTATGGTGAATTTGAAAACTTTGCTCACCTGTTCCGACCAGATGAATCTATGGCCCAAGGGTTTCACTGAAAGAAAAGGATTCACAAAAGAGAGGATTCTCTGAAAGTTACCTGCTTCCACAAGAGTTACCAAAATAAATGAAGAAAATATTAGCAAAAGTAGCATTTTTAAAGATTGAAGGAAAAAGAAACGAAATTTTTTGAATAGACAATCCGATTAGAATCATCGACGAAAAAGAAAGGAATTGCCAGAAAAGAGCCGAACTGAAAAGCGACAACGGTTCTCCGGGTGACAAAAATCGGCTAGGGAGCAAGTTTTTTTCATTCTGTTTTCAATTCTCTTCCAAATGATCTCCACCTTTTCTGCTATCGAGATCTTTGTGCTCTGAAAACTTCTCGTTTGTTAAAAACAAACAAACACGGATCTTTACAGTTAAGAGGGGGATAAGATCGATTTAGAGGGTGGAACCAAAACCTGCCCTCATTTTTACCTCTTTTGCCCTTACAATTAGTTAATGTGTTTCAACTTGGCATGTTTTATCATATTATTTAAATAGCTAAAAGCATAGGCTTCCAGTAAATTAGAAAAGTGTCAGAAAAATATTAATTTTTAAAAACCCCAATGCGCTTTCGAAGACTTGAAAATTTCCTATCCCTCTCTTAATCGATCTACCCCTCCCCCCTTCTCTTAACAGTAAAGATCCAAAGAAAAAGGTTGTGCATATTAATCTGAAAGTTATCGAAAGGCTGAACATTTAGCAAGAAACATCATTTATTGGTGTGTTCCCTTGCTGAAATCACTTTTCAGCTCATACCACTTGACAGGCTGGTACCCAGAAAAAAGAAAAAAGGCAGGCTCGAAAAATTCACCAGAGCTATTTGATTTAAATTGCGTTTTTTCTTTTATCTGGATATCACACTAGAATTGCTATGATTCGGATTTTTAATTTTCACCAAAATCTTTTTTGCCTTATCGTGTACTCGATTTTTTCGAACTTCCCAGTATTTTTTGAGAATCAGAAAAAAAGACATTTTTTAACCTTCAGTTATTGAAATACAGTCATGTAGAAAGCCAACTGGTGATATTCACTTAGAGAACCGGTCACTAGCAGTTGAACTCCACCGACTGCGCCAATCTAGGCTGAAATTACTATTATGAGTGATAGGAATCATATTTGTGACTTCCAGCCAATTTTTGCTGAATGGTAACATTTTCTAGTTTACCTCGGTCGGGATTAACAATATTATGAGCAAGCTATGGATAGTGTACATAGAGAGAGCTTTCAGTTTTATCCCCATTTTGCCTTGAGTGATTGGAACGTTTGCGGGAAGAAAACGGGTTTCAAGCCGCTTTTCCTCTCCTTTTTAGTTATTTGAATTATTCGATCAATCGGTGAGGCTATTATTCTCCATTTTCTTAAAAACTGATTGAACATGTTGCTGATCGATATTTTGTTTTCACTATTGCTAATGCCGACAATCCAGACAGCTTTCACTCCTCATTTTAGTAGATGGTTGGCAAATTACTATGGACCGTTGATTAGGGATCAAATGGAGAGGTGAGAAGCTCACTGTTCACCAAACATCTAGTGGAAGAGGCCAAATTTTATGCGCCCCATACCATTCGACGCAGAATTTTATGCTAATTCCGAATCTATGTTCTTTGTGCGCGCGCACAACCACATTCCATCTGGCATGTCGCTTTTCATATATAAAGCCATAAGGTAATGATAATGATAAGGTGAATCGCCATCAACTTGTTAGGAGAAAAAGAGGTTTAAAATTTTAACTCTCACGAGTAACCACCATACTAACTGGAAATCACAGGGTCGAATCCAATTTTTCTAGCCGTTCTATGGGAAATTTGAGATCTCGGCTCGGGTGGTTTAATCGGCAGAGTGTCGGTCTTGGAATCCAATAGTCAGGGTTCGACTCCAACGAGCGCCAATTTTTTTGCTTCTATAGAAACTTGTTTACTTTACTGTTAAGATTTTTGGTCTATTAACGTCTTCTTAGAGTAGACCTCGGTCCGGGTGGCTCTTATGGAGGGAAAATACATGATAACGATTTGCTAATCAATCAACCGCTCATCATTGTCCATGGAGTCTCTGATATGGCCGGCGATCGGCCGACCAGAGCGGCCAATTGGTTCAAGTTGGTTTAACACAAGAAATTCAAGGATATTTTTAAAGGTCAAGGGTGCAAAGGTAGCTGGGGGGCAATCTTTAGCCTCGTCTTAACATATTGAAATTTTACACTAGGGGTTTTTGAGGATGCTGAATCGATTGGTGATATTTTCAAACTATGAATTTTGGTTATTTTGATGTTATTACATATGGGCTCGGCTTTAATATTTTTTATTTTTTGATGCTTTTTCTTTAGTTTCTCTTTAGTGTAGGTTTAGTAGCGGTGGCTAGGCTTGAATTGAAGGCGTTTAACCTCTTAAGAGAATGGCCGAAACTCGTGATCAAGAGTGACAAGAATTTTGATGATTGGCTGACCGATTTGAGACTCCTTTGAAAAGATCGAGGTTTCCCAAATTGTGGACGTCCTATGCGCTTATTATTGTCATTAAAGTTATTGTTGCATTCATGTAAAATCAAAATACAAGAAATCATAGTTTGAAAATATCACCAATCGATTCAGCATCATCAAAAATCCTCCAGTGTAAAATTTCAAAATGTCAAGATGGGTTTACAAATTGTCCCCCCCCCCCAACTACTTTTGCACCAAATCAAGAAAGCCAGATCAAAAGAATGAACCAGAAAACTTTTCTAGTCTGGTTTTGGCTTTGACAGAACTGGTTTGACCTAGACCAGCAACCAAGAAATGAATCCTGTTTCTGGTTTGGTACTCGTCTTGAAAAATTGCCTATAAAATCATTTCTAAAAGATCTTCTATAGAAAACACGGTGGCTACAAGCAATCCGAGCTCTATTCGACCACCTATTTCAATGGAGCACAGGGAAACCCTCTCAAATGGCTCGAGTACACGATGAAATGTGAATATGTTAAACAGGTAAGGAAATTATTCGCAAAACTTCTTTTTTGCCGACCAGAATGTTCAATAACTGTGAAAAATTTTCGAACTCAGTCGTTTAAGCTGATCTTGGAGTCTAAGAGTTTTGCAATCATACACAGCTCATTATTTTCTCCATCTCAATCTCCCTTTTTTCGCATTGTTATCATACTCAGTGCTATCCAGGATGCATGATACAATATCAACTTCTGGATCTAGGAAAGAAATAGCCGATTTCCAGGTACGATCTCTAATTGTCGCCGTTCGCCTCTACACGGGTCGTCAGGTGGACGTGATCGGCTACTCGCTTGGGGTGCCCGTTTCGAGAAAGGCTATTCTTGGGGGTAATATTTGGGCAATATGACATCCAGTTCCTTGATTTACAATGCTTAGGTCATTGTGTGGACACTGGCGAGCACTTGGGCGGTCCTCTGACAAAATTCGTGAACACCTATGTGGGAGCGGCTGGCCCAAATCATGGGATTGCGCCACAGGTGAACTTTGACGTTTAATTTAGAGAGCCTGCAAGAAAATATAAATTATACAACCGCCCTATAAAAGGCGGGCCTTTTCCCATTTCCTCACTTTTTTTTCCCCGAACTAAGCCGTTACTAAGTGAGATTTCTTGGAGAGAAACTCTCCCCTTAACGTCTTCTTCGCCTTTTTCAAACAACTTATAAATCCCCCCCCCCCCCCCTCAATTGTGGCAAAAATAGCAATTGTTAAGCCTTTAAGCTTTCTGTAGAATGACATCGCATTAATAACGACCCTTATTTTAGAACTGGAAAAATTGGCCAACGATGAAATTGAGAGTCTATAAAAGTTGTAGTTTTGTTTGTGCGCTTAATTGTTATGATTTGCTCTCCAGATGGCGGGTATCCAGCTGCCCGCTTGTGCTCTCGGGGCGCTCCCAATTTGCAATTCACTGAATGGACTCTATTCGGGAAATTGCCCTCAGACAAGCAGATATCTCCAGGTTTTTCTATCAAGAAACTTTTTATAACGTTTCATAGTCAGGATATAAACGCCTATCAACGCTATGAGGGTCAACACATTTATACAATTTACAGTAGAAAAGATCAAGTGGTCGGCTATCTCGTGTGTGGAGCGGTGAGTTGGAGGGTACAAAAAATGAGAGATCTTTTGTGGCTTGAAAACTAAAAAAAATTGCTTGGGTGGCTCAGTGGATAAAGCCATTGTTTATCGATCTGGAGGTCACAGGATCGCTTCCTCACCAACCCACTCTTTTTTGGCGAGTTTGAGATAACAACCATAGATGGTCTAATGGATAGAGCAGCTGTTTAGTAGCCTAATGACTATGGTTTGAACTTTTACTATCAACTGGACATCTAGCTGGAGGTCACAAACTTTATTTCTGTCTTAGGAGTCTTTGATCGCTAGTTTTGTGCTCACAGTTACAATTGGTAGAATGTCAGCCTGGCGATTCAAGAAAGCTCGGGTCCAAGTAACCGGACGTTTTTCTAACAACCGACCATCTATCTGGAGGTCACAAAGTCAATTTCGGTTATCATACTAGCCGTTCCATTGCAAAGTTGAGATCTCGCCCTGAATAGCTCAATCGGTGAGCGCTAGTTTAGTAGTCCAAAGGTCAAGAGTTCAACTTCCACTAGTTATTGACAGACTAGCTAGAGGTCAAACGTTTGACCTCTAATCTCCTAGCCACCGTTTTTCAAAAAAGTCTCTATTTTTGCTATCTTTTTCCAAAGCTTTTCAGATCACTTCTCAAATCGCCGGCCAAGATGGTGGTCGAGAATTCGATGGGCTCAATCATGCTCAAACATTCCACTCCACTCATCATGTTCAACTGAGAATGATCCGCGATCATAAGATGTTCGGTTGACAAAAATAGTTTTTATGATTCTCATCGTTTTACAACTATTATTTGTATTTTTCAAAAGCTAATAAAGATATTTTTAACCCTTGCTTGATCATTTTGCAAGTCTCTTCGTTCATCGAATCAATCTATGCCCACACTATGTTTATTTCATATAATCAAGATTTGAGTTTTCATCTTTTCTCTTTTCCTTTTCACTTTATTCAACACTCAAATTGGGTAAAAGTAACAAATTATCGTAAACGAGGGAATTTTCCTTTGAAAGGCCTAGGATTGAATTAACGGAAACGCAAAAAAAAAAAACAAAAAAGACGGACCACAGCTCTGTTTTAACCCAAGCCTGATAACGGACAGTGTTCATAAGCAGTAACAAACGTAAATAATGTAAAAGCTTAAAATCTAAAAAATACTTCTTAAGTTCTCGGCCTGGTCGTCTGCTATGTGATCGTCTTCCTCTCACCGAAAGAAAATGAAAGCATTACGGATGGTTTTTGCTGATGATGAGGTTTGTTTCTGGATTAGACACAAGAATTTAATTTTAAAGATTTCGAATTCCCTGATGGATCTCTGTTTGACAATCAGTTGGTTGGCGATTTGGTGTTGATTTGGGTGTTTGGGTACTTCTCCATTTCGCCGTTTCCCTTGTCAAATTTTATGCAGCTGTTGTCGCTGAGTTAGCCATAGCACTGAAACAGAAATAGAATGTGTTAATCATACAAACTAAAAGTACCAACTTGTGCAATTAATCGAGTAATTGGATCAAACTGTTGCGATGAAACCACTTGTCACTCGTCCTACCATATCACCGAATGCTGTTAGCCATTTCGAAACATGTAAACATTGAGGATCTCTCTTGAATTTGTTCCAAACATTTTACAGAATTATTCTATTATTCAGTGGAAGAAACAATAAAAAAGGGGAGACAAAATGACAAAATCGAGTCCTCGATTTCAACTCTTTGAACCTGAGCAGTAGGATTGGGGCACTAAGTTAACTTTATTGCTTGACCGTGTTTTCTGGTTTTTTAGAGAAATAAATGTGGTATAGTGACTTTTTAATCTGATGAACGTTGCTCATTTTATTTAGTTTTAAATTTCATCTATATTTTGCTTTGTGTCATGTGTTTCCGTTGAAACTAATCAATTATTGCAACCAAAAACCCTTTGTGCTTTTTGTTGTGCAATAAAAACACGCCTGAAGTTTTTTGATTGTAATCATTTGTAATGTAATTGTAATTGATTTTTTTTCACTAAGTAATCCAACGACTGTTTTTATTTAAAAAAAAGAAATCACTTTACCTAGTAACTTTTAAACTTTGCCCGTAAAGATTTCAGAAGATTTTTTATTTGAAAAGCCCCTAAAACCTTGCTGAAAAGTCTTTCTAATGATCTTTTCCTTCTCTAAACAAGAATTTCAACTCTAGTTTTAGATTTCAAATTTGATTTGGTGAACAAGCTCTTGATCATTCAGTTTGTCTTGTCACTGTCTGGATTGTTTGTCTGGAAGTTGTTTGCCGGGATGGCAATGTGTACTGATAAAGCCGAAACTATGCTTTAACGTTTGTGCCGACGACTGTGAGCAAAAATTAACCCTGAACAATTCGATGATTTATTGGAGCAGATGGTGATTGTCCACCGTAAATACTGAAACACACGTAATTGGTACTGGCAAAAACCACTTTATTCAATTTATTAAACACTGACGATGAGTCAGATCGACATTTTTATCGTACAAAAGTATTAGGGGTTTGCAAAAGAAACTGCGCATGACTTTCCGGAACAATATTTTCTCTATTTGAAAGTGCTCTAACCCAGTTTAAATTTTATTCTATTGTGTTGATAACGCTTATTTATTTTACTGATTTTCACATTTGTTTGACCATTGAATTATAAATAATTTTAGTTGTCGACGATGACGGATCAAAAATTCGTTTTGCGGGCTTGCCTTCTATATGACTTTAAAATGAATAAATCAGCATTGGAGTCGCACCGGAATCTTTGTGAAGCATTTGGAGAAAACGTTTTGAGTGAAAGAAGTTGTCAGGAATGGTTCCGGCGTTTTCGTGAAGGAGATGAGGGCTTGGAAGACGAGCCCCATGGACATCGTCCTGTTGTCCTCGATAATGCGGAGTTGCTCGAGGTTGTCGAGTCGGATCCAACTCAAACTTTGTCCGAATTAGCCGAATGCTTTAAATGCGATAAGAGCACAATTTCCCGACACCTTTTGCTTATTGGAAAAAAAAAATTGTTGTGGCCAATGGGTCCCGCACGAATTATCCCCAGAAAACGAATCGAACCGTGTTTTAATGTCTCGGATTTTATTGAGAAAGGCCACGGGCAGCGCTTTTTTTGAAAACATCTTGACAATGGACGAAAAGTGGATATATTTCAATAATACAACCCGCAAAAGACAATGGCTGAGCAAAGGAGAAACTCCAGTTCCGACACCACGTCCAGATCTTCACGGCAAGAAAGTTATGCTGTCGGTCTTTTGGAATATGAAAGGAATCGTCTACTTTGAATTACAAAAATCCTCAAAAACTATAACTTCTCAAATCTACGCCGAGCAGCTGAAGAAAGTTGATGAAATTCTAAGAGAAAGAGGCGTTAATCCAAAGACAATCAATTTGCTTGCTGACAACGCCCGGGTACATACGTCGAATTTGGCTCAAAGCACGATAGAAGAATTAGGCTGGAATCTTCTGCCTCCTCCGCCATATTCCCCTGATATCACTCCCTCAGATTACCACTTGTTCCGATCTATGCAACACTCTCTTGCAAATCAACAGTTTAACAATTACCAAGAAGTCGAAATTTGGGTGCAAGACTATTTCGCGTCACAAGATCCGGAATCTTTCGAATCAGGCATCCGAAGTCTACGTAAAAAATGGAAAAATATAGTTGATAATTTTGGCGAGTACCTTTTGGAATAAAGTCTTTTATTATTAATTTTCGAGGTGTTTGAACGTTGCGTATAATACGCAGTTTCTTTTGCAAACCCCTAATAGTAAGCTTTTGGAAAATAAGAAAAAGACAAAAAAAAAAGACAGAAAATAACGGGTTCTAGTGGAATTATCAAGGTTTTATGGAATTGTGAATGGAATTTTGAGACAAGCTTTGGTAAATATTTGAGGAAACTTTTAAAGTCCATTATGTATTTAATACATTGGATTTACCCAAAAATGATTGATGAGCAATTTCAAAAGGAATCCAGTAAAGCCTTAAAAAAATTGTTTTTGCAGTGCTTGTCAAACGTCATAATTGGTTACAATCAGCGCTTTGTTCATTCAATATATGGAAGTGTTCAATTTTTAACTCGTTTTATGCCCATTTAATTTTTGTTCATTAAATACAAAAAAACAAATAGTAAACATGTTTTCATGCAAAAAAAAACCCAGCGCAATCCACTAATTATCGTCAACACAATAGGCTTTGTGGTCAAACGAGCAAAAGCCGGTATAATACGGATAGCCGGTTAGAGAGCCGATGTAGAGACAACATTCGACAACGTTGGTAAACTAAAAGTTTTATAAGATACATAGACTGTTAATGAGAAAAAAGCTCACCGGACCTACGCCGCTGCAAGTGGAGTTGCAAATAGCCTCATTTGTTGTGGTCATTTCAGCGGCTGAAAGCTTTTCGTTCAAGTACCATTTTTGATGCATTTGCGCTTTTTGATCTTTATAGAAATCTAAAAACAGGTCTAACTTACGTAGTGTCAAGAAACAGATGGTGAAAGCGATGACTGAAAAAGCGAGTTGAACTTTTGAAGAGGTCATTTTTGAAAAAAGAGGCAATCGAACGAATTTAATGGCTTTTGCTTGCCATTGAGCTGCCCTTTTATATTAATATTAATCTCTGCACAAATCATGTGCCTAAACTTGATCTCTCATTCTATTCATACTATTGAAAATCGGTCAATTTCGGGATTTGCTGTTACAAACAGTCAAAAATCACTCAATAGGCAAACTTTGACCGTTTTGCAATGATAAAGGCGCATTTCGAATCAATGTAAAGCATTTCTGTGTGCAATTTTTGATTTTTGATTTTTGATTTTTTTTTTGACCAAATGATTTTTGCATTTCAATCCTCTACAAGGTTAATTGGGCTGGAAACTCAAAAATGACATCAAAAGGTGCAGAAGCAGAGTGATTTTCGTGCAGTTGTTAATCGAATGACATTGACCTAGAAAAATATTGATGGCTGTTTGCGGCAAGTTGTGAGCCCGTTTTAACAATGAATTTGCACATGCTTGGTTAACGTTTGCCTTTTGAACCAAAAGAGTTGGGAAAAGGTTGCTCAGTTGAAAAAAAATCTTTTCGAAACACTCCTTACATTCAAAACCACGACAAATGACAGATCGCCATGGGTGCTTGCGGCGATCTCATTCCGAAGGCAGGTAAGGGTCAAAAATTAGCTTTGGCCAAAAAGTCTTTGATGTATTAATGATGCTAAGAATTTGAGCTTTCAAATGATAGATAATACATGCTACTTTCTGTAGAAAGTTTTTTTGGAAAAGAATAGTTTCCCAAAAACTGGCTGCCATAATTTTGGACCACCCTGTAGAGTTTAAAGTAGCCATACTGGCGCAGCCACTATAGGTGGCCGTACCGGAGAAGCTTTAGACTTGACCGTTCCGCCTACTTAATACAAATCAAATTGGTCGATTTGGGTGCAAATTCGAATTGCTCTGTGCTCGATTCCGATGGGAATGTTTACTCCCCGCCAACTCGGAAAGGTCTCAAGTGGCTTTGGAAAAGAGAATCTCAAAAAATCCAATAAAACAGAGGCGGTTTTTCAAAGAACTCGAGTTTCAAAGTAAATATATGAGAATTATGCGGTTGAATTCACGTTCCCTTTTGAACCGTAAGTATTTGGAGTTGTGATCTCTGTTTTTAGCCACATAACGATTATTCTCTATGATTCCATTGATCTGGTTGATTTGTTTTATCAAATCTAGCTTTGCTCAGTTCACCATCAACAACACGAATATAGGTAATTTGCGGAAGCATCTAGCTAAACAATCCCGTCATTGGAACAATCCAATACCATTTCAAAATACAGGGTCAAGTAAGAAAATTTTGAGGAACTACTACTAGTAGAAGATTTTCCAGATTCAGATTCTATCGGTAAATTACTATAATTTATGGAAGTACCTACCAATTGTGAGTATTAGGCAACCATAGAGTGTACAAAGTATCGGTTAGTGCAAAGAAGTTCCTGACTTCCTTAAGAAGATGAGAAAATGGATTGAATTACAGTCGACTCTCTCTATAATGGAATGGAAGGGACCAAAAAATGTTTCCGTTATGTAGAGTGCCGTTTTATATAGCTTTGTGTTAGCCGGGACCAATATTCCATTCCGTTATATAGAGTTTTTCGCTATATAGAGTTCCGTTATAGAGGGAGTCGACTGTAATTAAACTATAGATTAAAATTAGATTATAGAGGATCAAACGTTGTCCTGCTACTTCTTTTCTTCAAAACACTATGAAAAGCTCTTTTAGCTAACTCGCTGCAATCGATGAATGCAGCAAATGCTGTTTATGACGAGCTCTTTAACAAGCGGAACTACACTAAATATCTATCACCTGTATTTGGACAAATGATCGAGAATTCGACGGGTTGGTGGCCAATACTCTTGATTTTCGATTGGCTTTTAGAAATTGCAAAATTGAACGTCCACTTCGATCTCTGGTTCATCAAGCTGATCAATTTGGATCCCGAGAGTCAACTGCTGAGCCTTTGTCTAGAATTCAAGACGGTAAATTAGCAAAGCAAAATAAATCGATCTACGTCAATCATTTTAGTATTGGCAAGACGTGAGACTTTCGTGGAATGCCAGCCAATTCAATGGAATCGAATACATTTTTGTCTCATCTGACGCGATCTGGATACCCGATTGTCAAATTGGAGACGCGTATGCATTAGGATATCCAATAAAATTACTTTCAGCTTCACACAGACCCAGTGAAAATCGTTAGTAAGTCGAAGTCCTGATATTGTTGTGCTGAAAATGAAAAAGGAAAAAGATCCTACAAGGTGCCCCAGAATTACGCGAACCAATATATTTCTCGACGTAGAAGCCATAAGTCGAGTCATAAATCGAGTTAAAAACACAAAAGCTTTATTCTTAACAATTGTTTTAACAAGAAAAATCACTTTTTCTCAAAGAGATCTCCTTTCGCGGTCATGTATGCTTGCAGGCGTTTTGGGAACACATCGACAGTGGCGGAAAGGTACGGGACGTCGAGCTCGCCCCAAGCTTTTTCGAGTGGCTTCTTAAGAGAATCAATGCTGGAATGAGGTTTTTGCCTTTGCCTTTGCCTCGAGTACACTCCAAATACTGTAATCTATTGGATTCAAATTTGGTGATGAGGGTGGCCACTGATTGAAAGTGATGAAATCGGGGAAGTTCCGTTGGCACCATTCCTCAACAATTCGAGCTTTATGGGCAGGCGCAAAACACCAAATCCGATTCCCGTAATGCTTTTGAGCCCAGGAATGAACTTCTATCAGGCGCTTTTTCGCTTCGGACACGTTAAATAAAGGGGTGCGCACTGGTTCACGTAATTCTGGGACACCCTGTAAATTGGTTGTTTTAGCAAGACGGTGGACTCGGTGAAGCCGGATGAGCTAATGAGAGCCGTTCAAATCTTCAGCAATGGATCCATCTTCTATCCCGTTTTCTATTACACCGAAGTGGCTTGTCCAATAAATGTAGGTTATTCAATTTAAACTATAGAACATATCTACCTTTAGGTCGACGTTTTTCCATTCGACAAGCAAATTTGCCCGCTCATGGTCATGTCATTAGCGTTTGACTCGTAAGGCTTTTATCGGGGTTAAAAAATTTATGAAATTTAGAAGTCAAATTTCGATGAGTGCAACGGTCGACCCATTTATAATGGCTTACGCGAATCCAGATGTTTGTTTGAACTGGATATAAAAAACATTCGATTATTTTAGTATGTGAAAATGGTGGCGAAAGAAGTGGGTGCAGCATTCGCAATAACGGAGGCCTTGGTTCAATGGGTATTTTTGAAAATTTGTCAACTAGCACATAGTAACACTGATAAATCTACAATAGTACAAGTTTACTTCTGCTATCAGCATACCGGGTGGCGCACAATTGCCCGCACTCAGTTCAAGATTCACCCTAATAAATTGTTTTCTAGTAAAAATAAGCTAGATTTTGGAAATAATAAGTAAGAAGGAGTAAATGAAGCTGATTTTCTTTGATTTTAAGCCATTGAAACTAGTTACAAAAACCAGAAAATCGCTATTCCGCCGCAGAAAACGTAGTCGTAGTCGCGTAGTCGCAAAAAATATTTACTAAATCATTTTTTCTAAGCGCCCATACTTTCTGAAAATACCCGTTTGGTATCAAATAATAGCCCTGAATTTCAGCTTCCATCAGATACTTAAGCACACACTGTAGCATAAACGGGTGCCGAGAAGCATGCGTTGAAAGTTAGACTACGCGATGCTCCGACCGTGCTTATAGGGGGGGCGCTACGATTAGAGGTATTACGATAGCTCTTTTCAATTTTGATATAAGCGGTCTTCTTTCCATGCCGTCAAAACTTTTCACGCACCCTGTAAAATTGAACTCCTGATAAAAACTTTAGGGAAATGGAGAATGGGATATGACAAACATCACAAACTTCAGCATCATTCAAGGTGAAATGACTGTGGTAAGCTAAAAATCCATGGTTGCACAATAGTTCACAATTTGATAATTTAAAGACAGGATACCTATTGTATCTCCGGCGAGTTCCAAATTTCTATGTCTATGTGATCGCTTTGCCTTGTTTCATTCTAACTGGACTGTCGATTGTTGGAATGTTCTGGACACCAAATTTCAAAAAGGAGCAACTTGTTAAGGTAAGATTAAGTTTTTCAACGAAAGATATAATAGGATTACAATAATACAGACGACTCTCTCTATAACAGAATGAAAGAGACCAAAAAATGTTTCCGTTATATAATGTCATTTTATATAGCTCAGCGTCGGCCGGGACCAAAATTCCATTCCGTTATATAGAGTTGTCCGCTATATAGAGTTCCGTTATAGAGAGAGTCGAGTGTATATGATATTTTAGCTAACAATCGGCCTAACAAGTCTCGTTTCAATGACAGTTCTATTGGAGATGCTTGCTGATGCCATCCCAAAGACTTCTGTATTCCCATTACTTGGTTATAGAATAGTAAAACAATAATGAGCTAACAATATTCAGGTATCTACGTGGTTTGTTGCGTTGGAGTGACGTCATTGGCCTCTGTTATTATCACATTATCTTCATTGCCGAATCCAAGGAAACACCATGAACCACAACAAGATCCAAACGAGAAAGCATTGGAGAAAAAGAAATGTGGATTCACAATGAGGTATGTCAATGTATTCAATTGAAATTTTTAGTAAATATACTAGGTTGGTGCAAAAGAAATTTCGCTCGGCATAAAAAGTTCTATTTTTTTAATCTGGAAAGCTTATTTTGTGTATTTGTACTCTTGGTTATTTACTTTATTTTTACACTTTTCCTAAGTCAGAGCTTTCACTTTTTAATTGATATTTGATTTAGATCATGGTGCATCAAAAGTATGTTCTGGGCGCGTGTCTTCTCTAGGATTTCAAGATGGGCAAAAATCTTGCAAATCTTGCACATCGTGACCTCTGTTCCGCTTTTGGAGAACAAGTTATGACAAAAGCTTCTTGTATGGAGCTAGAGGAACTAGGATGGAAGATCTTACCGCATATAGTTCAGACTTTTCACCATCCGATTTTCACTTCTTCAGATCGAGGCAAAATTCCCATGCGAATTGTCAGTTTAAGAATGCGCAAGAAGTCAAAATTTGGGTGACCTTTCAATCACAGAACCAAGAGTCCTTCGATAAGGGGATCCTCAATCTGAAGCAGCGTTGGAAGGATGTTATTGATAACGATGGTGCTTATTGTTTCGAATAAATTGTTACCTAAAGGAATTTTGATTAAATTTAATGTTTGTAAAAAGAAGAAATTTTTTTGCACCAACCTAGTAGAAGAGGTAAACTTTGCTGGGGAATAGTTCATATACACCAGCAACTAATTCACATAAAGCTCCAATAACTAATTTAGCGAACGGCCAACACTCCGATCATTCCTCGGAATCTTCCATCGAAATTTCTTCCTTTTAATATTTTTTCAAGCCTTGAATTTAGTTGGTTTCATCGTATTTTTATCGTTTTGGGATTGATTCTTGATGCCTTTGGACTTTGATACTTTGTGCACTTTGTGGTTTTTGCTCATACTTTGTCCTTTGATTCTAAAAAAAATATATATTTCATCAAGTTTGCCGTTCCTCATACACTAGACAAATAAGATTCTAAAAATTGGGTCCAATTTGAATTGCTCAATGGAAATTGTCGAAAATATTTACTTTTAAACCATTTGATCTCAAGTGGCCACCGACGGAAATGCCATTCGACGGAAAGGTTTTTCAGAACTCTTGAATTTCAATGCAAATACGAGAATTATGCGTTGATCGAAAGAAATTACTTATGATCTGTAGTCATTTTATTCTTATTAGCTGTTTTTATTCAATTCTTTCTAATGGCATTGTTCTATTCTATTGGGCTGCTTTTTCTGACTAAATTTTGTATTGCTCAATCCGATCAAAGCGATGAGATTGATACAGGTGCAATTAAACTCTTTGGACTTTCAGAAAAAAAGATAACAGACGGAGACACAGATATTTAACATAAAGTTGATGTAAAGACGTTTAAAGATGACATAAGAACGGGTTTAGACTAGCAGAGCAGAGAAATCTTTTTGGCTCATTGAATTCGAACATTAATAGCAACTTTTTAAAAATCCCAACAAGTTTCGAAGGTTTTTAGAACAAATCTAACAGTAAACTAAACCAAGCAACAGAGCAAGAAAAAACTCTTCAATTGCATAGTTCAGTCGGACTAAATGCTGCCAATGAAGTCTACAACGAGATATTCAATGTACGGGGTTATAATCGATTCCTATCACCAATCTCCACTAGGAAGACTAACAGTTCCGGAGGTTTGTAAAAGAGTTTCTATTGTTTTCTTTTATTAACACGCCATTATAGGCTCAAAAACCACGAAACTAAACATCCACTTCGATCTCTGGTACATTAAATTGATCTCATTGGACGCGCAAAGTCAAATGCTGAGCATTTGCCTAGAATTGAAAACGGTAACTGAGATGAAGTTAAATAAGTTTACTCCATTTCAATGAATACTTCTAAGTATTGGTGAGACTTGCTTGGAACGAGAGTCAATTTGATGGAGTCGAGCATATTTTTGTCTATTCCGATGCTGTTTGGCTTCCAGACAACCAGATTGGAAATGCGTGAGTCTTTGAAGGGTTCGAATTCAAGTTTTTTATGGATATTAATCCAATAAGAACCTTGATTCGGAACTGAAAAGGTGACTGATTCAGCAAAACAATCGATTCGCCATTTAATTTGGATCTTTGGCGCAACTTGCCATAGCTTTCTTCTAACTGGGTCAATCTTTATGATTTTGGTGTCAATTGGGTAGATCTCAATAAGTGCAAAATTTGTTATGTTTAGGTATGGCCGAGTTTGGCTCCGATTTTGTTCGGAATGCCTACACCGAATATTTATTGCAGCACGAGGAAAAATGACAAATGTTGTCGAAAAATTTTGGGCGGATCAGAAAGTGACACCCTATGATTCAACATTTCACTTTTCTTCGAAAACTTTAGCCGAAATTAAGGAGGCACAGTTTTGGCGAAATGCATCAATAAACTTTTAAATAGAACTCACGTTTTTGACGTTAAATATTTTCAGCAAAAGTTATAAGAATTCTTTTGAACCCGTAAAAGACTTCCGGCACAAACGAGGCAATGGTTCAAGGATCCACTCAAAAAACGGCAAAACCGCGTTTTAATAACACCCTTCCAGTGCTTGCAAAAAAAAAGTGTTTTATGACTCAAAAGAATTGGTGTTATAAAATTAATTAAATTTAACTTTGGTGGGCCTTTTTGCCCAGATATTTTAGAGCAAACTTTCAAAAAGACGCGCCGCGGCACAGGACACTTTTTTGGGTGGCATAAAAAGGGTCAGAACTATAGAACTACGCATTTCCCCATAAAATGATACTGATTTTCTGAAACTACAGAGAATTTGCAATTTTTTGGTAAAGAATAAATCCTCAATAAGCCAAAAACTACGCGTGGATACTTAGTAGCCAACCTTTATATGCCGCACTCTGTAAATTGCAAACATAATAGCGACTTTTGTTACCAATGCTTCATTGATTGTAACCGTATTTTAGCCTGATTCGGATTACTCTGGTTTCACAAAGTCTTGATTAGTTTAGCTATTTAGCAGTTATATTTGTGTTTTTTATGTTTAATCAGACTTAAAAGATTCAGAAAATTGTGTTTGACATCTTTAGTAAACCAAAAAATTATTTGCCTTTCCTCATTTTTCCTTTCCTTTCCGCATAATGATTTCGATCAAAAATGTTCCAAAAGAGCTTCGGCTGATGATTAGAACTATTTTTTGAGCGGCATTGTGAAAGGGAAAGAGTGATAAGACTTTAGCTCAGTGCTTCGTATTCAAGTAAACAAGGGATTACATGGTGCAAGCAAATTAGAAATGACTAATAATATTTTTCTACAATTGTTATCAAGAATTTGCGTTGCAAAAATACACAAACATAATTTAAGAAATGCTTGAACTATAGACCGATTATAAAGCGAAAAGCTAACTGTAAGCATGCGCATGCGCTTCTATTAGAGCCTTATGAGCCTTAAGCCCCGCCCATCCATCCGTCTGGAGAAAAAGTTAAATCAAAAATTAATTTTTAACCTATGGCCATAAATTTGGTGTCAAATAATAAAGTGAAAAGTTCTCTTTCTTTTTCTTCTTTAACAAACATGTAAAACACAATTTTTGGAAATCTTGTACCAAAAGAAAATAAACGAATCATTTTAAAGATTAGTCCACACGATTAAGCTTTTTGAGTGACTTCAAAAAGTTTTGTGATTTAAAAACATTTTGACTTGCTCTAACTCTAACTCGTCTGCTTACCGTTAGCTTTTCGCTTTAGAGTCGGTCCATAGTTCAAGCATTTCTTAAATCATGTTTGTGTATTTTTACAACGCAAATTCTTGATAACAATTGTAGAAAAATATTATTAGTCATTTCTAATTTCTTGCACCATGTAATCCCTTGTTTACTTGAATACGAAGCAGTGTGCTGCTTCGTATTATCACTTTTTCTTATCACTTTTTCCCCTTCACCAGAACGCTCAAAAAATAGTTTAATCCTACCTCTGGGTTCGTAATAAAACCAAATGCATCACGAATTTTTTAGCTAACTTTATTTTTATTGCTTAAAACTGGGTCACTAAGATTGGGAACAGTACAAATATCGGAGAACTGAAATATTGCTCAAATGGTCGCGTTAACGCTTTTCAATCCGAAAGCAATGAATCACTACAAGCCAATGTAAGAATTTTATTTTTTCTGATTGAAAGTCTTTTAGCGTTGTTGAAGAGACAAATGAATGGAAAAAACGAGTTCTTCTAGCCCTTTCAACCATCTTCATCTGTTGTGTAATCGTTTTGGGAAGCGCCACGGCGTTGACCCTCGACTTGACCACTAACAGGTTGTCCATTTTACAGGTTGAGATGCATGAACTTCGCACTTTCCACTTTTATGCATGAACTTCTTGCATGTATGAGCACCTGATATTATAGAATTTTTATTAATTAAAAACGTAAAAATCATATCTAATAAAGAGAAACCAAAAAAAAAACATTTAATGAGTCGTAGGTTGTTTGTGAGTGCGCGGGTTTACCAATTTACAAAAAAATACAATTGTTTGGAAGCATGTTTTAAACATTTTTGCTTTTCAAAGGTGGATTTCTTTAAATTCTTGTATTTTAAAATCAAAATATCTGCTAAAAATTATTTTCTCTGTACTTTGTTTCAGCGACAACTCGACAATAGTTTGCGGTGAAGCTTTGCTGAAGGCTTGTCGGGCTCGTTTGTTAGTTTCTTCTAAAAAAAAGAAACAAAAAACTTTAGGGAACTGCTCAACGGCCAACACAAAAACCAAACGTAAGAAGCTAAACTTCAGAAACTTCAGAAATAGTTTCATTGTTTAGGGCTGAAATCGAAAAATTGAAAGAAATGGATGATCAGATGGAAGATTTGATGAACAAGTACCTTTAAAGCAAAGTTTCTTATGTTTTTTTTTCCTTTAGGTTGTTGAATTGTGAGAAGAACATGAAACATCTACAAAATGTTCGTTTTTGTTGTATTCCAAGTTCCCAGTACATATTTTTTGTTCATCTCAAGGGTTTTTCAAAAAAGTCAAAAGCTGGCTAAAAGGAGAATGGACTCAACTCGTAATTCAGAAACGGCTTTGACTATCAAAGTTTTACAAAAAAGCTAAAATTTTTACCACTAGATATAGACTCGAACCCGAACCTAAAACTCATACTAGCACACTATGCATTCGGGTATTTTTTCACGTTTGACGTACTTGAGGAAACCTTTATGGGTATGATTTTTGGGCTCTTTTGTGTTACCGGAGGGGAGGAGGCGGACGGGGGAACTATTATCTGGGGGGGGTCTCAGAAAAAAATTAGCTGGGGGAAATCTTTTCCGTCCATTTTCTACTTGATTTTATAAGACATAAGAGATTTTTCTCTATATTATATTATAGGTGCCTAAATTTGGGGCCGGTGCTGCAAGCTCTCTGCACTTAGGCAGGTCCCGGAGGGGGGCAGTGCTGCAAGCTCTCTAGGAAGGGCAACTATAAGCGCATAAACTCCGGATCCTAGAGAGCTTGCAGCACTGACCCCTAGCTAGAAGCGCCTATAATATAAGACATAAGACATTCCACCAACTAATTTTTTTCTGAGATTCCCCCCCTACCCAGATAACACAAAAGTACCCATGTTTTTCCTTTATAGGTCTCCCGGAAATGGTATCATTTTTGTTTACGTGTTTATAGGCCTTACGCGAAAGTTTAATACACCATTGAAATCAGTATGGTCCAGCCAAACCTTATTGGTCCTGATCGTGGATTGGGAATCTCCTTCTTTTCTTCTTTTATATTGCACTATTTAGTCGGTGATGGAGATTCGAATAAGATACGAACATCTGCTGGAGTTGATCGATACGGATAGGATCGGTCAAAAGACACACATTGAGAATAATTACGGTAATTACGGGACACATTATCATGGAAAAGCGTCAACCAATATACCCTGTCTTTTCCCCGTTTACCTTGTTTCTGCTCTTTTCCTATCTCGGTTTTAAAAGGTTCAATTTCATGGAAAGTTATTTTGAAAGCTCTATCCAACATATATGTACATTTATTCAAGCTTTGTCTATTCCGTTTTGTTATTTCTTATCAAGACACCAAAAAATCCACGAATCTCCTAGCACAAATTGAAAACGAATACTCGAGCTATTCAAATGATGCAAATTTTAATTGATAAAAGTCTTCTCACTTCGATTCTCTAAGCTATTTCACAGTTTGAAAGAGACAAAAAAGACTAAGGGTTTTTTCATTACTGAGAAATCGTGATATGTAGTCAAAGAATAAACTTTTGGTAATGAATGGGAAAAACAATCTTTGATAGAAATGGAAAGCTGAAAATCCAGGAAAAGTAAATATTAGGTTGATGCAAAAGTCTTTTTCATTTTTTTCGTCTGCCGTTTCAAGCCAACAAATGCACCAATTAAACTACGGTTGATTTCATTAGAAAAACCAATTATTTTTCTGCAAAATAACATTAAAACGGGTTTAAAAATATTTTATGCCTGGATTTTCTTGAGAGTATGAAGTCGGATAGTCAAAAAGGGCTAACTCGATGATGCGGTTTAGACACCTTAGCTAAAGAAAACCTATCTTCGTGTCAATAGATAAAAGATAGAGAAAAAAAAGTTTGAAATTTCGCCAAAATTTCAGAGAAATTCATTCAGCCAATTTTTCCGTAGAGTTTTTTATAGATTTTTACGAAAAAGGCGTTTTTCACTCTCGAATTTGCTTCAAAGTGAACCGAAATTCATTTAAAAAGATGGAAATTGAACAAAAAAACACTTTTTTTATAGAGCAAACTATAGATTAATTGGTGAATTTGTTACTTTTTAACAGAAGTACGAAAAAAACGAAAAGACTTATGCATCAACCTAAGAGTAATTTACAAAAATGGCCACAACTGTAAATTTACAATTGTAATTGCAAAAGTGTAAATTGAGCTACTTGAAAACTCGAGACTGACAAGGGAAGGTCACGAAATCAAGGTGGCCAATCAAAATGAGACCTAGACTATCCGATGCAGAATTTTATGCTGATTCCAAATCTGCTATCCGTTTTTGTTAAATAGTTCGGAATCGCAAGAAACCTTTTGGACAACTGTTTTATAGTGTTCCCTAACCTTTTTTTCTTCGTAATTGCTAAATATTCAAAAATTTTGTTTAAATTTTCCTGCATCTATTTAAGTGTTCAACAACAAATAATATAAATATCATGACAAACATGACAACAATCAATGAAATGAGTAAAACGTAGTCCAATACTACATTTTGTAAACCCACTAAAATTCACCGAAATTCCGGCGAAAATCCACGGGCGCAAATGATGATTTATCATTTTTACTTTGACTTTTGAGTTTGAAACATTGACTAAACATTTGAAAAGTCGAATGATCAAAAAATACAATCGAATGAGAACTCAAACTCCGAAAAAGTTCTCGTAAAAAAAAGTTTGTATGTGAATTTATTTAATAAGATCTGATAAAGAATTATTTAAGAGTTTATTGCAAGAGTTCAACTAAACTTGTTGTATTTGTTCTATAAAATCAATCCATAAAATGCGGCAGTTTTATGTTTGAGAAGATTACCCGTAAGCAATTCCATTTCTCTTGTCATATCAAGATCGAGTGCTAATGAAGTGGAGGGCATTGGATGAGAAAGTTTCTTGCTGGGCTCCACACTTTTCTAAACAATCAAACTATACCTTATCTATTTAGATATTCTAGAAATAGAAATGTTACTTTTATTGTGTGGACAAATTCTTTGTCACACTCTTTGCAACGTTTACTGCCTGCACTTGGTTTAAGACACTTAGATTATTGCTGAAAGTGAATTACATTGTACTTGCATAAAGAAAATTTACTGTTGTGAAATCCTGCGTTTTTAGCAGAGCCGAAAACGCAGTATTTTGGTCTTTTGGTTTCTTTGAAAGACAACTGAAATGGTTCCGTTCTGTTATCAGGGAATTGGAAGGAAGAGTTGATAAACATTTAGCACAAGAAAGGTGACAGGGTGACACCAGAGTTCGGAGCCACCTTGTTTTTAGGGTCAACAGAAAAATATTTGAAAAACGCCTGAAAAACCCGAAATCTAGATGAAATTTCGGTTTGGAAAACATTTTTTGGCAAAAACAGAGCGTTCTCATCGGCCTATTTTTTTAAGTGAAACAATAGTTAAAACTTGTGATCCGATTACGACTCGCCAACTTTTTAGAACTATAACATTTGGGTCGATTCTGGCGATATATTTGCAATTAAAAGACTTGATCTCTACTTGCGTAGCCTTAAATTTACCACAAACTTGCTATAATTTCAAACTTTTATAAGGATATTCAGCGCTCGAGAGTTTTTTGTTATCTTAAAGGCTGAATTGGACGACCGAAAAACAAGGTGGCTCCGAACTTTTGTTTCACCCTGTATAAGCAAAAACAAAATGATTTTTGACTTGCTAAAAACAAAAAAAGAAGTTTTCCGTTTTCAGAGCCAGATCTCACAAGTTTCGATCCACTTTGGTCCTTTCTTTTGCTTTTTACAGAAATGTTGACTAGTGTTCTTTGTGCGCGCACGACATATTTCTTCTTGTAGAATTAGGAATATTCCCTATTAGCTTTTAGCTATTAGCTATTAGAGTTGTCAGAATAGCTATTAGTCAAATAGCTATTAGAATAAATACGGTAGCTGTTCGCTAGAAAGCAAAAATGGTTTTTTAAAAGATCGTTTTTGTTGGTCGCTTTTGTTTCTAAAGAAAAAATGAGGTCACAGTGACAAGATAACGCCAGATTTTGGACCCAAGCTTGTAAAAGATTGGGAAGGACTTTGAAGCCATGAAGCTAAAAGCTTTTGAAGCTTAAATTTGTGCCCAAGTCAAAATTGAATAGTCAGTATTTGCAACATCGTTTTGCGGAGAGATTCCGGTATCTAAACCCTAAAATATTTTCCATACTTCTAAAAGAGAAGCGCTTTCATCCACTATTTATACAAAATGAGTCATTTTGAAGAAATACGCAAAAGCAAAAGTACACAAGACTTTCACTGAATCGAAATCGAGTGAATTCAGATACGATCTTTGCATTTCCTTTGCCATTTTGGCAACCAGATCCTCAAAAGGATATCTTTTATGTGTAATGCTATTCATCTTTTCAATAGTCTTCAATTGTTTTCTCTTTTCAAATGTTGTTTTTTCAAATGGTCTGACCAATGTGACAGGTAAAATCGTTGCTTTTATCAAAAGTCATGTTTTCTTGGAATAAGAGTTCTAAGCAAAGACTCAACTTCAAGTAATTTCAAACTAAACTTCCTTTTTCGAGCTAAAAATCCCGCCAATTCACGCTCGAGCCGCATTGGAAATCGGTGAATCGGTGAGATTTCTAGGAAATTGATGAATTTCTCCAAATTTCAGCATATCAATCAAATTGGTCTTTTCTATTGCATGATCCCAAAGAATGGAGCCACCATCACCAAAATCATGCTCTGTGATCTGTATCGATACTTTCGGCAAATCCCCTTCAAAGCTGCTTTTGGGCCCAAGAAAAAACTCAGGTAATAAGAGCTGTTGAATTTGAATAAATCGCTAGGAAATGAACGCTTTTTGAGTGTTTCAATGATGTGTTCGGTTTTCTTTATAATCTTGAACGAATTTCTAACAAGGGAAGGTCAAATGGCTTGTGCTATATACCATTCGACGCAGGATTTTCCGCTGCTTTCGAATATGGTTTCAGTTTTTGCTATGCGCTACCCTATCAAAGGTTATACGACTTTAGATTTTTATAAGGCATTTTGGAATTCAAGGAAAAATTATGATAAGTTAGTTTCCCAAAGGCTTTTCAAAAACTCTTCTTTCTTTGACCAACTTGGGTGTTCATCGTTCCAAAATTAGCCTTGTTTTAAAGTATCATGAAGGTAGCACAAAGAAAACCCAAGTTGATCAAAGAAAAAAAAGCAAAAAACAAAAGTTGCAGGGGAGCAGAACCGGAAAGTGTTCGCCTTGCTAACCCACTACCACTTGGCCACCGGCGCTTTTCGAAAGCCTTCGGGAAACTAACTTATCATAATTTAACTTTGAGTTCGAAAATGGCTTGTAAAACTTTAAACTCGTGTAACTTTTAATAGGGTAGCGAATAGAAAAAACTGAAACCGAAATCAGTGTGAAATTCTGCGTCGAATGGTATATAGCACATGTCATTTGACCACCTTGCCCACTTGACCTTCCCTTCTAAGTCTATAAAAATTTTTTGCTAAACCTAAACCTGATTTCGAAAAAAACTAATGCATCAATGAGAAACCAGCTTGAAATTCCTGTTCTTTCAGTGAATGCAAACTGAAAAAATGGAAACTCGACTACAAAAATAATCAAAACAAATGGGAAGTTTGCCAGAATCCGGTGAGATTCGTCCTTATCCGAGAGCCACTCAAGCGTTTCCTTTCCCTTTACGGATATCTTTGCGAGTCGGTGATTCTTAATTGATTCAAAATGCAAAAATAATATAAAATATCGATTAGCTATCTAAAAATGTGTGGTTCGGAGATCGATATTCACAAATTTACCAAAGATGTTTACCTTTTGTTGAGCACTCGATCGGTTAAAGAAACGAATTTCGTTGAAAAGCATGGGGATATAGTCATTTATCACGCACAACCACAAAGCTGGTAAGTGAATGAAGAATCTTTTTCATATTTTACTACTAGGTTCTGCAATTTATCGGAAGAACTGAAGAAATTTCATTTAATTCATCATAATTCGAATCGTTTGGAAATGAGAAGTGAATTTCAAAAAGTATTTGATGAAGCGAAAGTACCAAAGCTCTATTCAGATCAGGTATCTCTTCAAGAACAAGTTGAAAAAGATTTTTCTGTAAGTTTTTTTAAGCTACTCGTTTAAACTAATCGTTTTAAACAAAAAAAACCAAGCTAAGCGTTTTAAACAATCTAATCTTTAAAATAACGATTAAATCTTTAAATCTTTAGACTTTTAACCAAATTAAACGAATCGTTTGTTTAAAACAATTAGTTTGTTTTCTCGTTTCAAATCGTTTTAAATCGTTTTAAGCAAGCTAATCGTTTAAACTAATAGCTGTTTTTCGTAAACATTCGTCAATTTCAACGTGAAACGCTCTAAAAATCCTCTACAAAAACTTTTCCCTTAAAACCCTCTTTTTTTTTTGTTTTTTCCGAACCTACTTGATTAAAATATAAAAATTTAAAAAAGCTCAAACCTCCTTTTCTTTTGTTTTTAGCTAAATGCTTTAGATGTTACTGTTTTTTTTTGTGATTAAGAAACCCCAAAATTCAAAAAGTTTGAAAAAAACAACTCAATGGGCGTTTTTGTTGGATTTTCATCCGGTTTTCGACGCTAATCAAGAGTTCTAATCAAATTTTGTACAATTGAATAAATTCAGGTACTCTTTCATCTTTTCTACTCCGACACACAACACGCAAACCATGAGAAAGCCCAGCCAGAGATTCTAAAGAAATCGATGGAAGAGAAGCCGGAAACGATGGCCTATTTCAATGCGATCTATCACAAAGATTTTGAAGTATTTCACTTTGAAAAACTATTCAATGTATCATAATATATCAAATAAATAGTTCCAAGTTCAAATCAAAAGTCAAAACATTCTATAGCTTAAACAAAAGAGTCCAAAATGCATGCGTTGACCCTTTTTTTAATCTCTAATCTAGGCTTCCTGTCATCCGAAAATCAACAAATCTTTAATTTTTGGCCTAAGAGCATTTTTCTTTTCAGTTAACTTTTTGTGTTTCACTTTTTGAAATAATGACAAGAAAATCGTTATTTAATGTATTCAAATTTCAACGAGTTTCAAAACTTTGAAAAGAGAGAATAAAAAAAAGCTTAAACACAATGTTTTGTATGTAAAATGACCAAATGCAATTTGAAAAGGAAAATTATTGATAAGTGAAGCCTGAATCCCATTTTCTATGCCGGTTGGATCTCATCGGGTTGATTGATGGGCAATTTCTTGAGATGACTTCGATAAATGCCGAGATCTTCCACTTGCTCCCCTCCCAGATCCTCGATCATCGGATCCTAGAAAAAAACGATAACTTTGGTAATTTATAGGAGTTGGAACTATGAATGGTGTCATTTCTGACAAAAAGCCAATATGTGATCTTTTGAACTTACAAATCTGCTCTCTTCAACGCCTCTTGGTTGAACGAGTGGCTCCTCACTTCGATTTTGACTCATTGATGGAAGAATTGGCTCGTCCACTCGGCCAAGCAACCAATACGTTGACATCACTCCTTTACCCTAAAAAATTTGCATGATCAACTAGCTCAGATGTGCTTTGTGCGATTCTGACACACTTAATTCTTTAAGAATGATTCAGGTTATGTGGGGTTTGTTCTTATCGTGTACTTTGAACTCAATAATGTAAACGCATCCACTCTGGCGCACTCTAGAAGAAATGCTTCATTGCGCATACGAAGTAAAGAATTCATGGCACGAGAAATTGTAACTATGTAAATGAGAAACGTTTAGCTTTTCCGGTTACCGTAATCTAGACTTGTCTATTTGGTGGATCTTTGGTGGCGATAAAAAGAAAAGAATTCGAGAAAGAAATGAAGATCTATTTGTGGTACTTTGGTTCAAATGAATTGCCCAAACCTCAAAGGTACTAAACGAAAGGACAACGAACGTTTGTGCAAATGAGTGGCCCAAGAGGGTTTCAACGAGCTGCTTCTTTCAACTCCTAGAACTTACAGAAACGGCCTAGGACCGAAATCTTTTGGATTTGAGTTACTAAGAGTGTATAATTAACGATTTTTAAAGGTTTTATTTAGTCCATCTGCATGTGAAGATCGAGTCAAAAAGGTTTGTCCGGGTTATTTCCGGTCACCTTGTGCAAACTAATTCCCATTCTCTTCCTGACTTACTTTTATGATGACTTCCCCTCTCGGTTCTGTCACGTATCCGCCATATCGTTGAATCATCGAGTTGGCTGCATCGGACATATGAATTTGACCGGCTGAACTTTGAAGATGAAACTTGCAACGAGTGGAACTTACGTTTTCCATTGCTTTCCATACGAGATGCCGTGTTCACACTGTCACCGAAGAGGCAATATCTGGAAATAGGACAATGAAAACTATTGTTTTTCAGTCCGAACCTTGGCATTGTCAATCCAACCACTCCGGCTACACATGATCCAGAATGGAGACCGATTCGGAGATTGATCCGCTCGGTGGGAATGTGCGGGACTCGGAAGTACTGAAATGTCTGGCTGTATTAGAGAAACCTACTGATTGGCAAGACCAAAGCTTAATTGCTGGTTTCTGATATCGTAATCCGCTGACTTAAGAAAGCCTTAACGTTTAAAATGTGCCCTTCAATGGTAAAAGCTCGAGTGATAAAAGTCTCGATACAGTATGAATAGCTTTCAGAATAGGGGGACGAGAGCGTCCTGTGCTAGGGATTTTTTCGAAAATTGCAAAATAAGTCTGAGTGTTGGGACAAAACAAGTTTAGAACAGGTTGGGTTGAGTTTTGACCTGTCACACCAGTGTTATATTCAAAACTATCTCGAAATTTGAATTCTCCATCTTTGAAAACCCTAAATAACGTCTTTTCAACTTTATCAGTTTTTGGGTCATTGTGGGACACCGGTGGCCCACGCCGTCCCAGACAGAAGTCCACTCGGGGGTCACCGGTGGCCCACGCCATCGCCAATGTGTTAAGCTAAATGTTGTCCTTCAATACCATAATCTGTCTACCTGAATAGCCTTCAAGATTCCCAGTGACATTTCGGCGATATCCCTGATGTGTTGGATTCCATTCCGATGCGGTAAGCCGGATACACAAAGGTATCCATCGCCAATCGTTTCCACCTAGACTACGGTAATTCTATAGCACAGCCAAGTGACAGTACTTTGTAAACTCCGTGTTCTTCAATGATCTGATCAAAGGTCGAGTACAGATCGTTTAAAAGATTGACAATCTAAAGGAAAATGTGCCATATTTGAGGAAATTCGCATTTTTACTTGTAATGGTGTGCATTTTGCGGCCAAATTCGTGAATTTCACGACATCTGAGAAGAAAATCGTGACACTGTCATAGGCTTCAGGTTCCACGGTTTGACCCAGCTTCAACCGGTCAGCCACTTGTCTAAAATTGGTTTAGCATCCACTGTGACATCCAGCTTTTACCTTGGTAGCATTCGATAAAGAAGAATGTCACTTTTTTTCTTTTCCTCGACGAGTTCTCCGGTTCGGTCTTGTACCTGAAGGCAATCAATGGATTTAGCTTTTATGCAATGCTTCAAAATTCAAAAAAACAACTTAGATTGTCTTTCGGTGTTGCCATTACCTCTTTTTCTAGAGTCTCGGCATAGTTCTCTAAAATGTTAAACACGTGATCCATGAGATTTTGTTTTCGATCAGAGCCCTGGAATTTGATTTCATGATAAGATTTGTACGAATTGTTGTGTTGTGGAATATTTTTGGGTCACTTTGCTGCATCCTTTCTTTTCGAATTCATTTGGTGTAAGTTTCTATAGCTAGGGTAAAGTTACAGTTTTCTGTTCACATTCTTTAAATAAGTTAATGTTTTTGTCAACTGAAATCTTTTACTTTAACCTTGTTTATCAGCCAAAGTTAGTGCAGAATAGAAACATAAAAACTATGCTTTCTATTCGGCCCTGCTGAACGATAAACAAGACACTAATAACTCAAATAGTTGTGATTTCTATTTATATAATAGTTAGCAATAACTCTACAGGTAGAAAGCTAACAAGAAGCTTACAGAATCCTCGCAAATCTGAGCTTAAAGTTCAATTGGGTCAAAAACAAGTCACCATTGCTGTAATCAGTGACTTAATCGTTTCGAATCTCGGTCGATTTTGGGGTTCTTCGTGCCAGCAATCGCGAACGAGATGAAGCTGAAAACACGGGAAAATTCAAAAACCATTGATTAGCTATATTGTGTATACAAATAGTAAATAAATCCCTCACCAAAGCCGGATTGACATCGGCCTCGTCAGCCACCACTAGATCTGGTCTCAACGGTACTGATCCTCCTTTTTTGATCATATAGGTCACTTCTGAAATTCGACTTCTTCAAAATAGAGTCTTCTTTTCTAACCTTCAACTTTTTCCCTTCGATTCTCCATATCGAATGCGGTTTTTCGGGTGATAATCTCTGAAGAAATGATGGCAAAGGAGTAGATATCGTGTTCTTCGATTGGAGGTGTCATCGGCTCACGGAGTTTTTCAGGAGCGAACCAGAGTTGCTCTGAAAAAGGGAAAAACCGTTAGATGAATTTTTGAAGTATTATTATTGACATTGTCAAATCATAATGGTCCAGTGGTTCAAAGAATTACGAGATTTGAAAGCTCTAAAAGAGCTATCGGATTGCTAAAGCTCATTGCTTCTAGAATTCTAGAACAAACCCTTCTTCGTGGTTTGCTCCAATCCTCTAATAAAAGTCAGCCCATACCCGCCAACTTTCAACTGCCACCGATCATCGATGTAACAGACTTGAGATCTGAAAAAGGTGGATGGATCTTAAAGTGGCTGAAAAACCAACGATAATCTCCGATGTCCCTTCAAGAATGACTTATTGATGTAACACATTCCTTCGACGAGATCTCGAATCAGGGAATACATGAAGAAACCATCGATGTTCATGCTACTGCCGGTTAGGACTTGCTGAATAAAAGAACAGTTAACAAGTCCATTTTTAGTTTTTTTTCGGTTTGCTAATTGTCAGCAAGTCAAACAGCAAGATCTACTGTACTTCTTCCGGATTTCTTCAAATATACTGTGGGTATAGGCATACCGTAGCAAAGCCACAAAAGGTTTAGGTATAGGGTTGTCAAATCATCAGCTCATTTGTTATAGCAAAATACTCCCAAGCTTCTGTGCTCATTACGAAATTTGATTACCAAGTCAATAAAAGCAAAGATTTCGGTACTACAGGGACGGCAATTTTTTTTGAAATCTACTTTTTTGGACCAGTTTTTCATGCTAATTCCAAATTTTGAAATCCCAGGTCCGGAAAATGCGATTTTATCATCGAAAACAATGTTTTAAAAATAGATATGCATTTTTAAGGGGTTTTATCCATTTTAAATGCAAATTTTCTGTTTCGATTCAGATTTGTGGCTCAAACAAGGATCAACGCATTTAAACCCTTACACCGCTTTATGAGCTTAAACAAATCACGGTAAGCCATTGTTTTCGTGTTGTTTTGTTGTTTTCGATTTTTTTGATGATAAAATCTCATTCATTTTCCGGATTCATTCAATCCGAAACTTTGCTTGCGCTTTCCTCGAAAGCCAGGGCCCGTGGGCAAAATAAACACATCAACGGATTCGTCATGTTCGAGAAGCTTTTCATCTCATCGCCGTTTAAAAGTCTCACACCCTTTTTGGTACCTTTCCTTGTGAGCAAATCAAGAAATTTAATATGTTTATTACCTCTAGTGATCCCCTCGACGCCAATCTCCA